TTTATACTAACAAATTTACATAACCCTAAATATGAACCTCTAGCAGAGAACCCTAAAACAAAGACAAATAAACTAACCTCTTGATTATGTCTCCTTCGCGTCTTGAATCTTCCACCCTCAAACCTTCGCGTCTTGAATCTTCGCGTCTGCAAACCTTGAATCTTCTTCAATGATTCAATGATTCAATGAATTCTCCAAGTATTGTGTCGCGCCTTCTTCTGGGTAATGGAAATGTTGGATTGTTTTTCTATGTATCGTGCCTTCTTTTGGGTAATGGAAACGTTGGATTGTTTTTCTATGTATCGTGCCTAATCATATCCACGTCAGCAGCTCCACCTGGACAAATGTGGCATTTTTTTCAAAGTTTGACTAACGGCAACAAACGAAAGGATAAACGTGACACCATTTTAAAATTTAAAGGACCAACTTGACACTTTTTAAAGATAAGGGACCAAACTGGACCCCGAGCTAAAGTTAAAGGACGAAAAAGGTTATTTTGCCAAAAAAAATGAAGAATTAATGAGAAAAAGGTTAGGAAAGACATTTACGTCAAAACGAAAAATTAGGAAAGAACAATCACAATCGAGGGAATACTAGCAAATGAAAAAACTCCCTCTATCCTATAACTTTTCAACTTCACATTTATTAATCAATCAATTTCATCATTTTATCGAGCAATTCATTGCACAAACCCCTCATTCAATAAAGTATAAAAACGAGTAATTGTGTCTCCACAATAATTTGTTTTCCCTTTTATATTTCATTATCATCTTAATTAAATCCTAGAACCCTAAGTGTTAATCACTTATGTAAATCCTAGAACCTTCACTTAAAGCTTGATTTAAGTACTAATTAGGGTTTCACATTAAAATCCTAATTCTTCTTAATTAAACCATAATCAGCCATGAGTACCTCGTACAAAGGAGAGAAGCAGAAGTTAGAAGAGGGAGAAAAGGACAAACCAGATCAAAGAAAAGAAAAAGAATCTGAGCGGTTACCTTTTGACCGGAGAATCTCTCATCTCCATAGGTTGGTTGATTCTATTACACCTTTGTCTTCATCCACTTATTTGACTTGCACGCTTGTGTTTGATTGTTCTGGATTTGATTTGAATGGTAAATCTAGGATTTTGGGGTTTGATTTTTGTTAAGGGTTATGGAAGGGTTTATCTGTGTGTTAGGTTTTGATTAAAAATTGACTGGGGTTCAATTTGGATCAGATTGAGGGTTTTTGGGAAGTATTAGGGTTATGGTTCTTAGTAACTAGGGTTATGGTTCATTTGATGAATCCTAGGATTCATTAGGAGGGGTTAGGGTTCATTTTGAACCTAGGCTAAGGTTCTTGAGGGGTGAAGTTTCTGGTTGAGTTTCAACAGAAAATTGGGCTTGATGGTGGTTAAAAGGGCGGAGGTAAAAGAACAAGGGTGGTCGGGGCTGGGTAATATGAGGGAAAACACACCCACACCCACACCCCCCCCCCACATATATATATATATATATATATATATATATATATATATATATATATATATATATATATATATATATATATATATATATATATATATATATATATATATATATATATATATATATATATATATATATATATATATATATATGTGTGTGTGTGTGTGTGTGTGTGTGTGTGTGTGTGTGTGTGTGTGTGTGTGTGTGTGTGTTCTCCCAAAAGGGTCAAGAGTGATGTTTGGAAGCGGCTGTTTGACATTACCATAATTGATCCTGATGTAGAATATGAAGTTGATTCTTTAGTAACAGATGCTCGTGTTCATAAGGATTTTGAGTGGAAAGTTCATCTTAATGAAATGCTCAAGGCCCCGAGGGTAGAAGATTGTATGAGGCTGTAGCAGTCAGCCAATTTAAAATGACTTTGAGAATCCTATTATGGCTCGTTTCTCATATTTTGTGTCCTAAGAAAGGCGGATACTCTTGAGTGGACAACGCAGAGATTAATCTTGTGTACATCCTGATGCACAAAATTCGCATTAATTGGCCACACTACTTTGTCTCCAGAATGTTCACCATCAAGGATGCAAACAAGGGGACAGACATCCTTCCGCTATTCATCTATGATCTCAAAAACCCAAAGTTTCTTTGTCATCGGTGTGCCAAATCTACCACTCATCTCGCCTGGTCCAATTCAAGAATTCTCCTAGCCGACTCTAACTAACATGAGATACGTTTGAGATGAAGAACGTCAAACATATTATATAAGGTTGGGAAAATATGGTAGGAAGATATCAACTTTGACGATCTTATCATATTAGTTGATCCCTATATTGAGCAATATATTGAAGATGTCGTGCCTATGCATGATGTGGAAAATGTCGTTGTTTTATCTATGATCTTAAAAATCCTTACGCTATTCATCTATGATCTCAAAAATCCAAAGTTTCTTTGTCATTGGTGTGCCAAATCTACCACTCATCTCGCCTGGTCCAATTCAAGAATTCTCCTAGCCGATTCTAACTAACATGGGATACGTTTGAGATGTAAAACGTCAAACATACTATATAGGTTGGGAAAATATGGTAGGAAGATATACAACTTTGATGATCTTACCATATTTGTTGATCCCTATAGTGAGCAATACATTGAAGATGTCGTGCCTATGCATGATGTGGAAAATTTCATTGTTCAAGAAGATGGCAATGATGTTGGCAACAATACATCAATCACCTCGCTTCTTCAAAACCTACTGCACAAACAAGATCCCCAAATGGCGCAACTTCGAAACATGCAAGAACATATGAGAACTCAAGATGCAAATTTTGAGGCCTTTGTCTCATTCGTCACATAGAAGCTAGTCACCTTGAAGGAGGAAATGGATGATAATACCACATCTACCATCGCAAGGGTCAATCACATGATTGCTACCCAAAATGAAGACCATCGTCACTACACGCAACTCTATCAAGAAATGTGTAATTTCATGGACCGTCAATTTGGAAACGATGGTCAAGGCTGGTTTCGTGGAGCAAGGCTTGAAGGTCATGGAAGGGAATGATGAGCAGAGTTTTGAGTGTTTACTTAGTGTGTCTTAAGATTTTCCCATACATTTAGTGTGTTTTGTTTTGTGGTTTCCATGTTTTTAAATTTGGTTTGATGTTTATCGCTTAGATTTATGTAATGTTGCAATGCTTGTACGTTAATTAATCAAAATTAATATGAGTATTGCAGTTTATTTATTAAGCATGTGTTCTTTACTTTGCGTGAGTGCAAAACCTTTTCATTGCAATTGCGTGATGTGCATCTGCGTGATGCTTCTAACAGATAGTTTTCTCTTTTTTATGTTGTCAAAGGGGGAGAAGATAATGAAGATGATGATATATGCATACACTTAGAGGGAGCTATCAAGGACAATGAAGAAAGTATCGTCTAGCAAAATCACTCTCCGTCGTGGGGATCATCAATTGGGCGAGGGACACACAAAAAGAAAAGATGTTATAAACACTTCGCCATTTAACGAAAAAGGCTCTGTGCTTGAGGGACTGTAATGTCCTATCTGACAAAGTCCTTGATTTGGGCGCTCCTCACCTGACTATTGGGTCGTCGGGCGTAATCCAGCGGGGCCACCCTTGCAGTTTATCCAATATACAAGTTCAATGAGAGAAAGTCCTCGTTGACTCTGGAAATGTAGTCGGTCAATAATCTCTTTAATAAAGGGGAACAGTTGGGGCCACATTGAGGAGGCTATATACCTTAGCCCTAGAATTTCCTTATAAATAGATTATCACGAAAGAGCGAGGGATCAAGTCGTATTCACTCGATACCGCCAAATACTTCTCAATGAGCACTTCGCTCCCAGCTGTCCAAACACCAATAATCTAATAGTCTCATACAATTTAACACCGCTGGCCATCAACATAACCACTCACCTTATGTGAGCCGATCCCTAAAACAGTCTCGAAAACCACCATATAGAACTACTCGTAATCGTGAGCTAATCTCACCATATTCGTATAATATACCTACTAGAAAAACACACTCTTTTTAAAAAATACATATTTCATTTAAATTCTTATCTATAAGAAAAATTCATATGCACTTATGAAATAAAAATTAACAAATTACTAAATCATTAATATACTTTAAATTTTAAGTGTACCTAGTTGATTAGTTGTTAATATAAATTATTTTATTTTATCATGACAGTGATAGTGTATTTTTTTTTTTCCTTTATTTATTTATTGCATAAAAAATTAAATTTTAGCATACTTTTATGATTTCACTTAAGAGACGACTTTAAATGTCACCGTGAAATTAACGAGAATGTAGGTCTTCTTCTTATGCATAAAAATGGAAATAATTGGAAAAATAGAAGAATTAATGAAAAAAAAGGTTAGGAGAGACATTAACGTCAAAGAAAAATTAAGAAAGAACAATCACAATGAGAGGAATACTGCCAAATGAAAAACCTTCCTCTATCCTCTAAGTTTTCAATTTCACATTTATTAATCAATCAATTTCATCATTTCACCGACTAATTCACTGCATAAACCCCTCCTTCAATAAAGTGTAAAAACGAGTAACCGTATCTCAACAGTAATTCGTTTTCCCTTTTATATTTCTCTTCTCCGCTACTCTTTCAATCATTCCCTTTTTCTTCTCCATTGCGACGCATTCACATTCTCCGAGTTCCTCATCACCGTCATCATCATCAGGTTCGTTTTTCAGTCACCATTAGTTACTTTCATTTCGTAATTGGATCTCGTTATCGTCACTGTTTCGTTCGTTTGAACCAGTTTCGGATTCTATTGATCATACTTTACTTGATCTCGATTAAGCATTGCTTTAATGGCGAATTTAATTTGAAGCAGCTAAGAGTTTGTTATTTGTTTGTTTGTTGTTTGATCTAATTAGTTACATTGTGAAGATTTTGAGGCTAATACTGTTTTGTTTATTGCTTGATTTATCGGTTGATTTTTTTGATTGATTTGTGGATTGAATTTGAATGTTTTTAGGTTTTTTTGTGTGGATATGAATACTAAGTCGGTTGAGGATTTGATGGAGTGTTCCTCTGAGGTTCATTATTCTGGATTCCATATGGATGATTTAGAGCAAAGAAAAGCTGCTACAGAGCAACCAACTACTTCTGCGATTGACGAGTATAAACAACCTTTTCTCATAGGTTTGTGTTTTTTTTTTGTGTGGCAATGTAGTTGTAGAATACAGTATTTAGTTTCTGTTTGTTTGTGTTGTTCTGGAACTCACTTAGTGGCGGCGGCGGCGGCGGAAGCGATTTGTTTTGTTTTGTCTGTTGTATTATAGGGTACTCAATAGTTTGTCTTATGTTGTGTTTGGTGGAGAGCTTTGTGTTGTTATGGAACTCACTTAGTGGCGGTTGCGATTTGTTTTGTTTTGTCTGTTGTATTGTAGGGTACTCAGTAGATTGTTTTATGTTGTGTTTGGAGGAGAGTTTATGAAATATGGTTTGGAAGTAGCTTGATTTTTTTAAGTTGTTTTGGTTGAAATCAAATTTGAAGTGAAACGGTTATTTTTGTGATGTTTCTTTGTCTAAAAATAAGTTTGATTTGAAATTTAGTGTGAACCTTTTTAATCTATAGCTATGATTCTAATTCTTTTTCATCTACTTTTTTGTTTGTGCATATTGTTGTTTTGGTAGAAATTGAATTTGAATTTGAATTGAAGCAATTATGTTTGGATGTTTTTTCTCAAAAAAATGTTAGATGCAGAATTTAGTGTGAACTTTGTAAACCTATTGCTATGATTCTAATTCATTTTTATCTACTTTTTCGGTTGTGCACATTGCAGGTGTTGCAGGGGGGTCAGCATCTGGCAAGACAGCTGTTTGTGATATGATCATTCAACAGCTTCATGATCAGCGGGTTGTACTTGTTAATCAGGTAATGCATTCTTTCTATATACAATTATCAGTAGTCAAATTGAAAATTTGTAATGATTTTTTATTTATTTGTGAGAGTGGCTGAAAAGATATTAAAGGCAAACAACTGGCACTTAGTTCTATATAACTTCTAATGCTTTAAGCTCTACAAGCATTCTTGATTTGCCGCCTTTATTTGAATCCCCTTTCTTTTTGTTTCGTTATATTTTCTTTATGAAATTTGAAGATTCTATTGGAATGATTTTATCAGCTTTCTTTTGTACTACATTTGAATTTGAATATTGATACTCTGTTAGCTACCATTTATAACACCAAAATACTTCAATCACTTTTACTTTGCCCAATCAGATTTAGTCTTCTGTTATCATCATATCCACTTTTATTACGAACAATTACATATTTCAATCAAGTTTTCCCCTAAAATGTCGACTAATTTCTAACCAAAAGAGACCATTCGTTTGGATCTAAAATATGACAAGCCACTGTTTATGTTATGTTAGTAAAAATTTCTTTGCATGTATTCTATCACTTAAATTATGCTTTTAGTGGCGTGTTATTTTCACTTTCAAATATTTACATTTTTTTTTACTTATGTCTCTTACATTTTTGAAGGGATGCATTCCAAAATTTGGTTTGATGTTTCTTGATGTATTGTATTCATGGTGATACATCATTGAGCATATTAAATTAACCATTCAATTCACCACAGGATTCCTTTTACCATAACTTGACTGAGGAGGAACTTAAAAGAGTACAAGACTACAACTTTGATCATCCTGGTCAGTTCACTTGTACTCATCAATTTCTCATTATAAGTGACTGTCTCTTGATATTAAAGTATTTTATTATATTCAATGAAGTACGTATCAACTTCATTTTGGTGGTTTTCTTGAATCAGGTTGGTTTTTTAGGAAGTGTGTAGTTCATTTTGATCTTTTCCCTCATGTCCTACATTTCTCCTTCACCACATTTTACGAGTGTTAACGGCATCTTTCTTACTCTCTGAATTCTTTAGGAATATCAAGGGAAAGTATAGCCTCAGAAATATTTATTGAAACATAACTGACCTCAGAATTAGCAGTCAGAGACTTGAAATTAAGTATCGATCTAATGAAGTACTAAACCTTGAATATTCTTGTATTTAGTTAATAATTATTGATTAATACAGATGATAAAACTACTGCATATTTTACTTGTCAGAATATGTGATTTGTTTTGAGCATATGAAAGCTTGAACTAAGTTCAGTACCAAACCTTGAATTTCTTGTATTTAGTTAATAGATTAATACAGCTAATAAAACTACTTCATATTTTACATGTCAGAATATGTTATTTGTGTCGAGCATATGAAAGCTTGAACTAAGTTCCTTGCATTATAGCACCTAGATATTTAAGTACATAGCCAGTAGCAACATTAGTAGCTCTGTAGTAAATGAAATTCACCTGAAATTTGATAAGGTAGCTGATAGGAATGGATCGGATCCCACAAATGATGATGGGAATGTGTTAGTTAATAGAGATATTATTGGACCTAAACAATGGAGGGTATATGTGAGAAAGAATAGGAAACTCCACAAATAAATAGGAGTTAGTTTAGGTATTATTCTCCATATAAATAGGAGTTAGTTTAGGGATTATTCTCCATATAAAGAGGAGTGTATGGGGCAGTAGTTAGGCATTAATTGATTTTCTGTTTTTGACCTTAGGGTTTGGGCAGTGAGAGAATAGTTCTCTGACTGAGGAGCAATAGCTCTGGAATTTATTTTACTTTCATATTAATTAATAAAATACTTTTCTTTATTATATACCTCTGTTCTATCAATTGGTCCGACCTACCATTGTTCATGCCCAAAGCTCCTAAGATGGCTGACCGTGTTTCTGCAGTGGAAGAAAGGTTGGAAGGTGTTGAGGCTAGCATTGCTGCGTTACGAGAGTTCATTGGTGCTGAGATTCAACGTGCAATGGCTCATCGTGAAGTGCCGCAGCCAAGCAGTGCGGCAGTTTCCTCACCGCTGGATGAGTTTCGTTTATCTGCGAAGAAGGTGGAGTTGCCGGCATTTACCGGTGACGATCCGGTTGCATGGATCACTCGGGCAGAGACATACTTTGAGGTACAACGAATTTCGCAGGATGTTCGTATTCAGTTGACCAAATTGAGTATGGAAGGCCCTACTATCCATTGGTTTAACCTATGGCATGATTCAATAGAGGAAGTGTCATGGGAGAACCTCCGTGAGGCGATGATGGTTCGATTTGGAGGTGGGCGTTTGGAGAATCCGTTTGAGGAATTAAAGGAACTAAAACAATCGGAATCAGTAGAGGAATATATTGTTGAATTCGAACTGTATTCTTCACAGTGTGGTCGTTTGCCAGAACAACAGTTTCTAGGTTATTTCATTGGTGGTTTACGTCATGATATTCGTTCTCGTGTGCGTACCTTCAAGCCTCGCAATCGTTACCTAGCAATGCAATTGGCTCGTGATGTTGAAAGTGAATTTGCAGTGGCTTCTGGACAAGGTTCTGGAGCACGTTACAAACCAGGTCATGGTTCTTGGACAAAATCTCAAAAGCCTAATTGGGCTTTTCGCGAAGGGGAAGGGAACGGATCTGCAACTCAGACCCAGCCTAATAATTCTTTGGGCCAAACGCGGACTGGTTCGGATTCTGGATCTCAAACCGTCTCAACACGTCCTACCAATTCTACAGCATCTTCTCGCCCAAATTTAGGTGACAATTCACGCCGTCAATCTCGTGGTGTTCGCCATCTACCAAGTGCAGAGGTTAATGAGCGTCGTGCGAAAGGACTCTGTTTTCGTTGCAACGAACGATGGGATCCTCTCCATCAATGTGCAACACGACAGTTACGATTGATTATCTTGGGGGATGACGAGATTGTTAACGATGCAGGAGAGATTGTGGTGTTGGAGGCTGCGACAGAAGAAGAGCTCACACAAGAGGAATTAGAATGTAAAACCATGGGGCTGGTTGGTGTATCCACTAACCCAAATCAGGTCCGGAGGATGAAATTGGAGGGATGTTTACAAGGTGCCTTAATTCTGGTACTTATTGACAGTGGAGCCACACATAATTTCATATCACCTAAGGTGGTTGAAGCCCTGGGATTGTCTATGGTGCCTTCTAATCCTTTGGGTGTTAAATTAGGAGATGGTCATCGTGTCCTAACTAGGGGTAGATGCAATGGAATTCAGATGAAAGTGGGATCAGTGCAGATTTGCTTTGATGCTTATGTGTTGGAGTTAGGAGGTGCGGATTTGATTTTAGGAGTTGTGTGGCTAGAAACGTTGGGGAAGGTGACCATGGATTGGAAAGAAATGTCTATGGAGTTCAACCATAAAGGCAGTATGGTGAAACTACTTGGTCAGGCTGTAGATGATAAGATGGCTACTTTCCAAAGCATTTCCAAAGCAGGGGTTGCTGTTGATCCTGCCAAGGTCAGCAGTGTGTTACAATGGGAAGGGATGGATGTTGGAGATGCTACCTGGGAAGAGGAACTATTGCTGAAGAGTCAATTCCCTGATCTGCGCCTTGAGGACAAGGCTAATGTTGTAGGTGGGGGTGATGATAGGAATGGATCGGATCCCACAAATGATGATGGGAATGTGTTAGTTAATAGAGATATTATTGGACCTAAACAATGGAGGGTATATGTGAGAAAGAATAGGAAACTCCACAAATAAATAGGAGTTAGTTTAGGTATTATTCTCCATATAAATAGGAGTTAGTTTAGGGATTATTCTCCATATAAAGAGGAGTGTATGGGGCAGTAGTTAGGCATTAATTGATTTTCTGTTTTTGACCTTAGGGTTTGGGCAGTGAGAGAATAGTTCTCTGACTGAGGAGCAATAGCTCTGGAATTTATTTTACTTTCATATTAATTAATAAAATACTTTTCTTTATTATATACCTCTGTTCTATCAGTAGCAGAATTATATTGAAAGACCTCTGAATTTTCGTAGTGCACATGTGAATGCTGGTTTTTGACTTCTGTGCAGCTCCTTGCATTGCTTCTAACGTGTGTTGTTGATATCTTCAGAAGCTTTTGACACGGAGAGATTGGTAAATGTCATGGACAAATTGAAGCATAGCCAAGCAGTAGATGTTCCAAAGTATGATTTTAAGGGTTACAAGAACAATGTGTTTCCTGCAAGAAGGGTATTTATGATACTTTCATATTTTGAATTAGAATTATTTAGTGTATTAATGATTTCCAAATCATGCTGCGCATGCTTCCAATTTATTTTGTTTTATCGTGTTTTGCAGGTAAACCCTGCAGATGTTATAATTTTGGAAGGCATCCTTGTTTTCCATGATCCACGTGTCAGGGCCTTGATGAATATGAAGATATTTGTTGACACAGGTCCATTATCATTTTTGTTCCAATCTAACTAGCATATCTATTTCTGTTGTAGTTTTTTGTGGCATTTCTTAATTAATTTAAGATATGATTTGTTGCCATATTTGTTTTCCTTAAAATCACATTGCTATTTATTTCCTTCCACGGTTTACATTATGACATACTAAAATTCATACTATTCACATTATCTAAGCAACTGCATGCCCTTATGCAGGGGCTAGTGATGCTATATCTTCCCCCCCTCTCCCTTCCCTACATCCTATTTTATCACTAGTTACCTATCTCTACTTTATAGCCATTTTACAAGTGCACTTCATGGGTTTTAGTCATAGTTAAGCTGTCACTTTACGTCGTTAAATGTTCAGTGCAGATGCTGATGTTCGTCTGTCAAGAAGGATTAAGCGTGATACTGCCGATAATGCACGTAATATTGAAGCAGTGCTTGACCAGGTAGCAACTTCCAGCCCCCCGTCACATTTCTTATGTTATTATTTTCAAGTACCTTGATTAGGAAGCCTGTCATTGTTTAGTTTGTATGGAGTTGGGATTGATGATGATGGTGATCAAACCTATATATACTCTTTTCTCATCATGCATATTGTAGTTGCTGATTTTTAACATGTTTGATGCAGTATTCAAAATTTGTGAAGCCGGCTTTTGATGACTTTATCCTTCCTACAAAGAAGTATGCTGATATCATTATACCCCGTGGAGGAGATAATCATGTAGCCATTGATTTGATTGTGCAGCATATTCGTACAAAGCTTGGTCAGCATGACCTCTGTAAAATATATCCTAATTTATATGTCATTCAGTCTACTTTTCAGGTGCCTCTTTCTTACTGTTTATTGACATTTTCAGTAATCCTATTCTATCTTTTCCCGTCCAGCGAGAGATATTAAATTTTCCACCAAAATTGAATCATCACGGTAATTCTTACCTTGCAGATAAGGGGCATGCACACCCTGATACGCGATTCTCAGACAAAAAAGCATGACTTTGTATTTTATGCTGACCGTTTGATTCGTTTGGTATGTACATAGGGTGCAATGGTTCTTTTGTTACTTTTAATTTTTGAGGTGGCATGGGAATGGAATTTTCTTTATCACAACAGTTCCCTCACTTTGCCAGGTCGTAGAACATGGCCTAGGACATCTTCCATTTACAGAAAAACAAGTAATCACTCCTACTGGTAAGTCTCCCTCACACCCAACGCTGATTTCCCCTGCTTTTTGTAGTAGTTCATAAGCGTTCAAGTGCACCATTCTCTGGTTTCTTTGTCTTGAGTGAAATGTGAACTACATGTCCACGGTCTTGTTTTAGAATTGACTTCTCTGTATATAGGACATCTTGGAAGGGCTGTAAACTACTGCAGTCTGACTTTCATGTCATAGAGATACTTTTTGATAGAATAGGAATTGATGGTTTATGGTGTTGTTGTGCTCAATAGATTGTTGGTAGGAGGTTAATTGCAACAACTGCAACACAAAAGATTCTGTCTGTCTCTGTATAGCTGATATTTACGGGCTAGAATTAGTTTGTTTCATATCCCAACCTTTTATGGTAATAGTTGATTTTTGTCCTTCAATGCAGGGTCTGTATACAGTGGTGTGGATTTTTGTAAGAGGTTGTGTGGTGTCTCCATTATCAGGAGGTATTCTGTCTATTCAACAAACACTATTCCAAAACAGAAGTTATCTGAATGATAAAATATTGGCATCATTGGTTGAAAATATTGTCTAGGAACTTTCTTAATCCTCCTTAAACAATTCCACAAACAAACGGATGATCTTTTTTCAATCTGGGTTAGGAGTTAATAATATTTTTCATGAAATTAAATTTATACCCCACTACGCTTTAAAAGACTAGTTCATTTTTCCATTCTACTCAATTTGATGGGAAGCTAAGATCACTACAAATTTCTTCTAAAATTTATTTGAGAAAAACAAACTCTGTTCATGAATTTAATATTATGATCTAATATCAGTGGGGAAAGCATGGAGAATGCTTTGCGAGCATGCTGTAAAGGTATCAAGATTGGTAAAATTCTTATTCATAGAGAAGGTGACAACGGTCAGCAGGTTTGTTGTCTTCCTATATGCTGGAGAATTGAGTATACATTTCCCGTTGTTTCATTTCACACTGTCTAACTCATTCCTTGATTATTGAGCAGCTAGTATATGAAAAGCTGCCAAATGATATCTCGGATAGGCATGTGTTACTGTTGGATCCTATTTTAGGCACAGGTGTGTCATTCTTGTAATGTTTAATTTAAAGCTGATCTAAGGCGTAAAAATGCACATGAACCATAAGTAATCTACTCCAATTTTTAGTTATGCAGAAGTCGGCATAATAATGGTGATTTTAAATTGACATTTAATTTGTTGGTTTTATTTTGATTAACTTTTGAATATCATCATCTTTAGGTAATTCTGCTGTTCAAGCGATTTCGTTAATTTTAAGAAAGGGTGTGCCAGAGTCCAACATTATATTTCTCAACCTCATATCAGTAAGTTATTGATATCTTTTAGTTCATCTCCATATCTTGCCATTTTCATTATTTTCTCTCTTTCTTTTCTTGTACTCAAAGATTTACATTTTCTCTTTCATCTTGCCAGGCACCTCAAGGTCTGCATATGGTCTGCAAAAGATTTCCAAGAATAAAAATTGTGACATCCGAGATTGACAACGGTTTAAATGAAGATTTCCGAGTCATTCCTGGGATGGGCGAATTTGGGGATCGATATTTTGGAACAGATGAGGACGACGAACTGGTGGAGAGCCGTTCGCGGTAGTTGTTCTTTGGCAAAACCCACAATATATTTTTGGAGACTTCAGTGAAAAGAAAAAGATTGGACTTTCCTGAGTTGAGGCTGCGATCTGAGTGCTAATTTTAATTCAATTTTGATCATAATCCTTGATTTGCTTTATTCAATGACTTATAGTTGGAACTCTCCAATGCAAATTTTTGTGTTATCTTTCATTTTTATACCCGGATTTTTCTTTCAACCTATTCTTTGCCGATATTGATATGACGATACTGATATGATACATGATCATGAATTCCGAGATTTATACCATATAGAAAGAATATATAATTTTACTTAATGGAGTTTCTTGGTGTCAAATATTGATTTGCTCCCAAACAAATTCAACCATGAATATTAGGCAACACCTTGAGGTACCCAACAGTTGATGAAACTAGCAAGACAATGCCAATTTCATGGAACCAAAGGGGATACAAATAATTGTGAGTATACTCATAGGTAATAAAAGATTTTTTTCGTCATTCTTTTTTTATTGTCATTTATTTTCTTTTTAGTCGGGTGTGTGTATTAGGGGTTGAATTATATCAAGAGTATCTAATGTCTTTAGTTGTTTGGGTCATATTTTTCTTAGCACAAATTGCCTCATATAATTTGAACAGTCTATAAGCATTCATAATCAATTTTACTTTATTAGTGACTGTAAATAAGTAATTTATATTTTATTTTAACTCACCAATTTATGTATTTCTTTTGTTGATAAAGCACAGGTTAACTAAACAAAGTGGGGAAAGCTAACACCAGTACAATAATTTTGGAAGAGTATTTCTAAAGGAAGAGAAATTGAATTTGATAAAAAAAAAAGAATCTTATCAAGCAGAGATTTAAATTGTAAGAGGTGAGTGGTTGTAGCGTGAATCATTATTAGGGTGTGTACCAATTGCATATAAAGCCTTGGATAACCCATTATTCCAATTATGAGGACCATACATTTACTTAATGAAAATTTGAAGGAGTCGGGACTAAGAAAAATTCATTAACATGTGCTGAACTCAATAAAATCAGAAGGATTGTTAATATCTTTCTCTATTAATTGAACTTGGGGACAGATCGAAGAAAGGGATTGTTCTTGGCATCTTTAGTAGTGTTTACACATTACATTGAAAAACTAATAATGTTCTTAAAATTTTTGAAGTTAAAGTATGTGACAACTAAAAAAAGATCGAGACATGATAGTATAGTCCAACATGTTTCCTTTCAGAAGAAAGAAGTTAGACCCTCATGTTCTGTCAATGGTGTCACTTCATTTGACGGAGGAATATTGTATTTTTGAAAGCATGTGTCTTGTGCCGCTGTCCCAGAAGTCCAACATGTCAAACTTATTGCAGTTATTGATGTTTTTCCAAGAGTTTCTCAAAACATCTCATTAATTTAACAATTATGTATATTTTATATAAGTAACTTAAAGTTTATTAAAATATGTCAAAAATTTATAACAAATTTACTGTCAAGGAATAAAAACTTACTATGTACAATAATTTTGGAAGAGTATTTCTAAAGGAAGAGAAATTGAATTTGATAAAAAAAGAAAGAATCTTATCAAGCAGAGATTTAAATTGTAAGAGGTGAGTGGTTGTAGCGTGAATCATTATTAGGGTGTGTACCAATTGCATATAAAGCCTTGGATAACCCATTATTCCAATTATGAGGACCATACATTTACTTAATGAAAATTTGAAGGAGTCGGGACTAAGAAAAATTCATTAACATGTGCTGAACTCAATAAAATCAGAAGGATTGTTAATATCTTTCTCTATTAATTGAACTTGGGGACAGATCGAAGAAAGGGATTGTTCTTGGCATCTTTAGTAGTGTTTACACATTACATTGAAAAACTAATAATGTTCTTAAAATTTTTGAAGTTAAAGTATGTGACAACTAAAAAAAGATCGAGACATGATAGTATAGTCCAACATGTTTCCTTTCAGAAGAAAGAAGTTAGACCCTCATGTTCTGTCAATGGTGTCACTTCATTTGACGGAGGAATATTGTATTTTTGAAAGCATGTGTCTTGTGCTGCTGTCCCAGAAGTCCAACATGTCAAACTTATTGCAGTTATTGATGTTTTTCCAAGAGTTCCTCAAAACATCTCATTAATTTAACAATTACTTATATTTTATATAAGTAACTTAAAGTTTATTAAAATATGTCAAAAATTTATAACAAATTTACTGTCAAGGAATAAAAACTTACTATCATGATAGTTAGTCTAGAACTTAACGTTCACTTACTCTCACGAGAGTTAGTCTAAAACTTTGTTGGACTTCCAACTAGGGAGCATTGAACATAGTGGGACTTTTTTCTAGAGCAACCTTTGTGAGAGACACACCACATACTCACCCAAAACCTTAAGGTAATAGGTGTATGGGTTCTCTCACTTATAAATGCTCAAGTCACCACATTTCTATCCAATGTGGGACTATTATCCACCCTACTCACACTTGTTAATACTTAACACTCTCCCTCAAGTGTGAGTCTATCCCAATGCTCTCCCTTAAGCGGAAACTTCCGTGCAACTGCACCCTTGTACCGCCGTTGACATTCTTCAACGAGACACTCAACCCACAACCTATGGGGATACTTTCAATACAAGTAAGTCGTTCCTTTTATTCGAACCAAATGCTCTGATACCACTGTTGGACTTTCAACTAGGGAGCATTGAACATAGTGAGACTTTTTCTAGAGCAACCTTTGTGAGAGACACACCACATACTCATCCAAAACCTTTGTGACTTGAGCATTTATAAGTGAGAGAACTCATACACCTATTACCTTAAGATTTTGGGTGAGTATGTGGTGTGTCTCTCACAAAGGTTGCTTTAGAAAAAAGTCCCACTATGTTCAATGCTCCCTAGTTGAAAGTCCAACAGTGGTACTTGGACTCCGGATGCTCATCACACATGACTGAAAGGAAAATTTGGTTTGTCAACATGAAGCCCTCGTCGAAGAACACCGTGAAGTTTGCAAATGACAACACTCTAGCAGCCGAAGGTGTTGGTGATGTTCTGATTATGAGGAAAGATGGCAAAAGGTCAACAATTTCCAATGTGTTGTACATACCAGGCATGAAGAGTAATTTGCTCAGCATAGGGCAGCTTGTCGAAAAGAACTACAAGGTAGTTGTCGAAGACAAGATGATGAGAGTTCTCGATGCAGGTGGTAGATTAATCTTGAAGGCTCCAATGTCTCAGAATAGAACCTTCAAGATTGGACTCAATGTGATGGAGCACAAGTGTCTAGCAACTGCAGCCAGCAGAGATGAGTGGTTATGGCATTTTCGACTAGGTCATCTCAACTTTAATGACATCAGAGAACTGAAGAGAAGAAATATGGTTTCAGGATTACCAGAAATCGACATTCCAAGGAAAGTCTGTGAGGAATGTGTTCAGTCGAAACAACACAAGAATAGCTTCAGCAAGGATGCAGGAAGGAAGTCGAAGGCAATACTTGAAGTCATATACTCTGATGTATGTGGTCCAATCCAGGTGGATTCGATTGGTGGCAATAGATACTTTGTCACGTTTATAGATGATTACAGTCGAAAGCTGTGGACTTACCTCATTAAGAAGAAAAGTGATGTGATTGAGGTATTTTCCAGATTCAAGTCCTTGGTCGAAAGACAGAGTGGCCGAAAGCTGAAAATTCTGAGGACTGATGGTGGTGGAGAGTATGTGTCGATAGAGTTCGATACACTATGTGTAAAAGAAGGGATTGTGCATGAGGTGGTGCCACCTTACACTCCACAGCAAAACGGGATTGCAGAACGCAAGAACATAACCATCATGAATATGGTGAGAAGTATGTTGAATGGAAAGCATCTACCTAAAGAATTATGGGGAGAAACAGTTTCGACAGCAACATATATATTGAACAGATGTCCGACGAAGAAGCTTGAAGGAATCACACCAGAAGAATGTTGGTCTGGTGTCAAGCCTAGTCTCAGTCACTTGAAGGTATTTGGATCTATAGCACATAGACATGTGCCATATCAGCTGAGAAGGAAGCTTGATGATAAGTCAAATCAGATGATCTTGATAGGATATCATTCGACAGGAGGTTACAAGCTGTTCGACCCAGTGAATAAGCAGGTAGTGATCAGCAGGGACGTGATCATAGATGAGCTTAAAGAATGGGATTGGACTGAGAATGCCAAGAAGGATTCAGTGAGAATCTCTTGTGAAGAACCAGCCACTGAAGTCGAAATGGAAGTTCGGCAGGAACCAGTTGCAGATGAAGCAGGTTCAAGCAGACCTCGACGAACAAGACACATGCCTGCAAGGTTGCAAGAATGTGTAATTACATCAGATGATGTAGTCGATGAAGAGGGTGAGTTGGTACATTTTTCTTTTTACGCATATGTCGAACCAATCAATGCAGCTGAGGCATTGAAATATTCGAAGTGGATGAAAGCAATGATTGAAGAGTTGGAGTCTATCGAACCAGTCAATGCAGCTGAGCCCAGATTGCAACTGTCGAAGGATTCAGATGAAGATAATGTCGACCCAACCCAATACAGAAGACTTATTGGGTCACTTAGATACCTTTGTCACACAAGGTCTGACTTAGCATACAGTGTTGGTATGGTAAGTAGATTCATGCAGAAGCCAAAGGTATCACACCTAGCAGCGACAAAGAGGATACTGAGGTATCTGAAAGGAACTCTCGACTATGGTATTTTGTTTCCAGAAGCTGATGAAGGAAAAGAATGCAAGTTAGTGGGATACACAAACTCTAGTTGGTGTAGTGATGCTAAGGATCGAAAATCCACATCTGGGTATGTGTTTATGTTAGGTGGTGCACCAGTTGCTTGGAATTCGAGAAAGGAACCAGTAGTGGCATTGTCATCATGCGAAGCAGAATATATAGCTGCTTCTCTTTGTGCATGTCAAACAACTTGGATGGTGAATTTGGTCGAAGAAATCACAGGGAAGAATCATGGAGCAATTACCATGAAGATAGACAACATGTCA